TGATTCAATAACCCTGGAAGACAAAGTCTGGGCATTTAAATCTCCATGCTCAATATTTCTATATGAAATAGATGTATTTTATATCAGGCATAAACATGGTTTACAAATTCCTGCATGGCACAGATAATCCTTTCTATGTATTTCTTTAGAAACCCTTGCCTATTTCAAAGCCAGACAAAGGAGTGTTTGCTGCTGTTCTTCTGTACAAAACGCTGTCCCTCCTGATTGCTTGTTACAGTAACACTAGAAGTGTTTGAACCTAGAGGAAGATTGATTTGGCTTCTGCTGAAAAATGGAAAAACATACATTTGCCTTTTGCTGAAGAGCTACATTGGAGAGCTCCTTTCTTGAGGTCCACATAACTCCCTTTTTTAAAATCTGCATCAAGATTAAATAAACATAATTTCATTTACCATGAAGCTTACCATGAGCTTTCTATCTATATTTGTTGCCTTTGTTGGCATAATAAGTTTCACATTTTTGGTAGTGGCTATTGGAACAGATTTTTGGTACATTATTGATGCCTCAAAACTGGAACAAAATAATAACTTCTCTAACCCATTAAGCTCTCATTCAGGACTTTGGAGAATGTGCACAAGTAAGTAATTTATTCTAATTAATTTTTAATTAGCATGAACATTTTACAGGGAATAAATTGACCTTAAAGTGTGTTTCAGATTTCTGCACAATGATCTTTAAATAATACTATTTCCTTTTGTTCCTATTGTTGTGCTTAATGTTTAATTTAACCGAAAAGAACCGACACTCTTTCATTCTTTTTTTTTCTTATTATATAAGCAAAGAGCAGATGTTCCCCTTTGATGAATCCTTTCTGGCATGGAAACCGAAACTTCACTGATTCAGAGAAACAACTTTTAAGTGAGTTGAATTTTTATTTATTATTTGTTTGTAAAAGCAATGCACCATATTGCAATGGAGAACTATTGACCTTTAATGTATAGATGAAAAGTTGCTCGCTCTCGTTAATCTCTATATGGTCAAATTATATATTTCACAACTGGTAATATCACCACAAATGTTACAAACCTTTTTAATATAGCAATTTTAAAATTTACATTGTTGAGTAAGAATTCACAATATTGTTTTGCCCTGAACAAACTAAATAAGACCTTATAAAGTATTACTGTGAAAGATAGTGGAATGTATTCTTATGATACTCTGCTATCATCTGTAAAAAAACAAAAACAAATAACAGCAACACATACCTCCCAACTTTGCGACAGGGGGATCAAGACTAGGTTGGGGCTTCATAGGATAATTCACCAGGGATGCAGCTTGCTGCTCAAGGACACCAGGGAACAAAATTGTGATGGTAGGACAAGACCACAAGATCAGAACTGTCCTGCCGAAAGCTGGACATTTGGGAGATATGGCAACAGCAAGTGTTGTATAAAAACATAGTTTTCTCACAAGACATTGATGGCTTGTTTACTATATATTTTGGAACAAAAAATGTTTGTTTAAACTGTTTTCCTTTTAGGGAATATGTAGTTTGAATATTGTGTATATATGTATTTGTATAGTCATAATGATTCTATCAAATGGAATTACAGATATTGATGTATTTCCTTTGCCTATGACTCATGCACTAAGGAGAAATTAGTAAGAAAAAAACTAAATACGAGTATTGAGCTGGAATATGAGTACCTCTAACAGATTGGTTGAGGTACTGCAAGATTATTTAAATCAACATATTTATATGGAATTTATTTCTCTAATTGCAAACTATTTTTTAAATGATTAATGAATTAACAATTTATTACATTTAAAATTATATTTTACAATTTCATTCAAATTCAGGACAATTTATATGACCTCTTTATTCCCTTTTTTCAAGAATTGCCAAATGCTATGTTTACAGAATAATCTTGTCAATAAAATTTTAAATTCGAATGGTCCTGTACCTAAGGAAACAAAGCCATTTGCTGCTGTAAATGGCCATTTGGACTTCAAAACCCACACGTTGTTTACAGTATTTAACAATGTCCACATTTTACAAACCAGGCCTTGAATGAGCCTGTATTTGATCCATATTTTAGCTGGATCAAAGCAGCCAGGTGGCCCGGATGCTTCAAATATGAACTATTTAACCTCTGCCACAGTATGGCTGGTAAGGCTATAACAGAAGTCTCAAGCCTCCATTATATTAATATGGAAACAATAGAGACCCTCAAAAGCTTTTTTTTTTTTTTTGTAAATATGACATCTGGCTAGCAAGTGCTGGCAATCCACTATATGATTTACCTTTGCACTTGGCTTTTAACTATTTGCCCACTGGCTGCTAGCACTGCTAATGGGCAAATAATATTTCAAATCATCGTGCACTTACACAAGTGAATTAGATAATATGGGAGTGACTTTGATCCCCATAGGGTATTTATTAGTTAATATTTTTCTTTTTTTTAATGTGGTGACTGGCTAGCAAGTGCTGGCCAGCTGCCAAATAATTAACCCTTGCACTGCTGATGTTTAATTAACTTTTTGCCCACTGGCAGTGCTATAGTATAGACTTTTTTTTTTTTTTTTCATTGGGCTATGATTTCAGCTATCTTGATTTGTTTGGCCGAGTTAAAATGCAAACCAAATTCAGGCCCATTTGGAGCCTAAATTGCAAAATCTGGAAATGTTTTAAAAACGCAAATAGTAAACAGATATAGCAGTTCTAATGGCACAGTATGTTGTCTAAAGGTTTTTTATTTTTATTTAGTGAATAACCCTGAATGCAACACATTGTAATAAACTTAGTTTTCTAGCAAGGGCACTGTAAACTGCATATGTAGGGTTGGGGCTCCCTCTGCTGTAATATATTTTGATTACACCAAATAAGGAACTTTTTAAGGAGACAATTACTGTATTTAAATGTTCCACTTATAATAGGAATTAATTTACTCACTTTTATTGTTCTTTATTCACAATCAAACACCCATTATGTCAGAAATTTAATAAACTGTTTTTTTGTTTTTGTTTTGTTTTGTCTTTAAGAACACAATTAAGATTATCTCCCTCCTTTACTCCTCCAGTCTTGTGCTGTTTTGTCCTGAAATGGTAGGTTAGGGTTCAGGTCCAGTACTGTGAGGTTAAATATAATAGTCAGTAGTTTAGGAGATTAGATACTTCAGCCAACTTCTAAATATTTGTTTTTCTGATTACTAATAGTTATTGACATTTTTTAAATTAGTACTATATAAAAAGTGCTAACTATAATAGAGATTGTACTGTAGTCATACAAATCACCATCCTGTTATGCAAGGTTTTTGCTAGGCGTAGTCTACTTGAGCTGAAGACTGGAGAAGGGTGCTAAGAAGATCCAGTTAGGGTAGGCACTTTTTCATTGGTAACCTTGTGCCAACTTTAATATAGAGAGGATGATAATATAAGTTTATACAATACCCTGAATCAGCTTGAAGATTTGGTGTTTAATAGGAATTCAGATGTTGTATTAAGTTTTAGAGTTGGGCATAGAGCTTGGCTTTAAAGTGATATTAAGTGTAAATGTGGAAAACAGTATTAAATCACCATTAAGCGATGTCCCCAGGCTATTTTTTTTATTCTTTAAAAATGTTAAAAAAAAATTTATATTTTGCAATACAATAAGAAATACAATATACTTCCAGTGATAGATCAAATCAATTAATTGAAAACACTTAGACACCTACTATTATTAATATTTATAAAGCGCCAACAAATTCTGCAGCGCTGTACAATGAGTGGATTAACTGACACGTAATTGTAACTGGACAAGTTGGATGCACAGGAAGAGATGGGTTGAGGCACTTGTTTAATGAGTTTAAATGCTAAAGGGAGTGGGGTAATGTGACACAAAAGGTAAGGGTAGGGTTAGTATGTAGGTTGCTAGAAATTTATTCACTGAGAGCTTAATGTTTTGTTTTGTTTTGTTGACAGTTGCAGGATAGGAATCAGGTGAGCTTTTAATGATTTTTTGAAGGAATGGAGTCTGGGTGAAAGTATAATGGAGAAGAGAAGGGAGTTCGACAGGAACGGTGCAGCTTTAGAGAAGTCTTGAAGGCGAGCATCAGATGCGGGAGTACAGACAGAGGATAGAGGCAGGTCTTTGGCAGAGCATAGGGTCATAGATGAGACATACTTATAGAGAATAGGTAGGTTGGAGCAGCATTATGTAGTGACTTGTAAGCAATCACCAGAATCTTAAACTGAGCCCTATTTCTTATGGGAAGCCAATACAGGGACTGACAATGGGGGAGGCGTGGGAGGAGCGGGCGGAAAGGAAGATGATAAATAAGAAATATATAGATACTAAATCTATATTAGAGTGGAGCGCTAGGTGGAAAGTGAACCATGCATAAATTATAACGCTTACCCCTTAAGGTATGTAGGGGAAAAAGTAGCGGCAGACAAAATATATGAAATATAAACACATAGAGAAAATAGTGCAGATGGTATGAAGTGCTAATAGTTCGATATACTTGTGGTATGTATCAACTCACATGGACTTGAGCCTGTATAGTAACTGGCTCAATAGAAGGAACTTTTATGCGCTTATGGCAGCATCACACCTCTGGTAGATATTAAGAGAATATTCTCCAGGCATGAAAAGGAATAGAAAATATACAATAGTGCAGAGAGTTTTCAACAATAGTGAATATATATATATATATATATATATATATATATATATATATATAGATGTTAAGCTCACCTTGTTCAGAACCTGGTAAGCCAGGCTCTGAGGTGGAAAAGCGGGGTGTCAAGTTATGGGGTGACACTACCCCTATTGATGTGCAAAAGTCACAAGGTCAGGTCTGGACACCGGATGAATCCAACAGTGATTTATTAATAATAAAAATATATGTGTAATGGACTGCCTGGCACACCGACTGGGGAGAGAGACCAACTGTCCCCTCTCCAAATAATACACTCTGCTGCTGGGGAGGAAGGGCGACCCCATTCTCTCCCTGGAATGCACACTGCTGCTGGGGAGTGAGACCAGTTGTCTACACTCCCTGTAACATACTTTGCTGCTGGGGAGAAAGATCGACCGTCTCCACTCCTCCCAATAACACACTCTGCCGCTGGGGATGAAGGATGACACGCTCTTCTCCCTGTAAGATACACTGCCGCTGAGGAGTGAGACCGGTTGTCTCCACTCCCTGTAACACCCTTGGCTGCTAGAGATGGAGGATGATACTTTCCTCTCCCTGGGTTGCACACTGCCGCTGGGGAGTGAGACCAGTTGTCTCCACTCCCTGTAGGATACACTGCCACTGGGAAGTGAGACCGACCATCTCCTCTCCCAATAATATACTCTGCCACTGGGGAGGAAGGATGACACATTGTAATTCACCCTGCCACTGGGTAGTGAGACCAGTTGTCTCCACTCCCTGTAACACCTCCCTCTGGGTTTGGAGTATGGGCCGGCTGCCCAGCCTCCCTGTAGGGTTGGTAGAGAGACCTCGGTCCCATCTCCACCTGCCAACTGGGGGTCTTCGCA